AGTACATGCATTCCTAAATTTAGATTACTTTTTTCTTTATTATATTAAAAACTAAAATTTATTTGTTTGTAAGGTTAAAATAGATCCTTATTAACCATATATTATTAAAAATGCATTAATAAATAAAATACAGAACTGGGAATGGTAATTTATGGTTTAACCTAGTGACAAGTAGATTCAGAGACAAGTAAATTTGACTTACGTCATTTTTCAACTTACGTTGCCTCTCCTGGAACCAATTACCGATGTAAGGTAGGTATGCCTGTATTTCAGGGTCGGTAATGTAGGTCAATAAGGCGGTGGTGTGCCTGTTATTTTTAATATCTGCTTGATGTTCTCGTATCCATTTTTGTGTTGAGCGGATGGTGGAGCCAACGTAAATCAAGTCCCTGTGGAATCTGTCGTCCCTGATGGGAATGGAGTATACACCTGGGGTCCTGCTGAGATCCATCGCGTCCTTGGCATTGTGCAGCAGGTCGTAAACCATGCCGGTTCTCGTGTACGCGATCTTTGTGTGGTTACGGCAAGCTATCTCCTTGTATAGGGGGTCTAAATGTTGGTTGAACCTGACGACCGCGCATCTAATGTTCTTATCAGGTTGGTGGTTGCCATCTGGCGGCGGCAGGGGGTTGTCGCTGCGGCGTGGGGGACGGTGGGTGTAGGCACGGGCTAAACTGCGCACCATGCCTTTACTGTAGCCATGCTCAATGGCAATCTTTTCAATGTGTCTGAGCTCCAACCGGGTGTCGCGATCGTTTGTGTGGTGCATGAAGGCCTGTCTGGCCTTCATGCACAGAATAAGGGCACGGAAAGCCACAATCTTGTAGATAAAGGGGTCGGAGGAGTTCGTGAGGATGAATAGTGGGAGTTTATGGTAAACGCTCATTTCTATCTTACCATCCCTGAGACGTATGTTAACATCTAGAAAATGTGCGCTTGAGTTGTTGACCTGATCTAAGCTGAGGGTGAGGCCATAAGCATTGTTGTTCATTCACGACAAAAAATCGTCGAGATGCAGTGTGGTTTTCCAAAGTATAAAGATGTCGTCCACGTATCTTTGGTATAGACTGATGTATGGTAAGAATTTGGGCAACACTCTCTCCTCCAACTGTCTCACCACTAGCTCGCACAGGTCCCCCGAAAGCGGGCTGCCCATGGGCACACCTCGTCTTTGTAAGTAAGCGGCATTGTTGAACTGGAAAACCGAGGTGTAGCACATTAGATGAGCCAGCTCCAATATCTGCTGGTGGTGCCGGAGTGCATCATTCTCACGAAGTAGAAGGTCCCTAAGAAATCCAACACTGTGATATGTGGGTCGTCACCTACATCTACCCGCCATAACAACTGAACAAAAGCAGTGGAATTGGTGGTAGAAAACTTATAACCCTTCAAACGTTCAGCGGTGATGCTGTGAATGGCTTTTTCGAGCAGCCTCATTGGGGACCTAGCTTTATCCAGGACTGGCCTAAGTGGAGGGGTCTGTTTGTGTGTTTTGGCGAATGCGAACAGCCTCGGGATGTCAGGAGAGGCAACGACCGCCTTGCCCAACCCCCATTTTATGGCAAAGGAAGTGCAGGTGAATCTAGAAACACTGGACTGTAGCTTATCTATGTAACTGGGATCGATGGGTTCGCAGTCCGTGTCATCGATATACCATTGCATGAGAGACCTGTAGGTGGCTTCCTTTAATAGAACAAGAGATTTGTTTTTATCTGCTTTGAGGACTATGACATGCTCGTCCGCCAGCCATTTCCTGGTTTTTTGTATGAGGCGCCCCCAGTTGTCACCACAGGTCCTGTTGACGGAACAAATCGTGAAGGTGGCTTTCCACCTGTAGTACTCCTTGCGGGTGTTGCTCAAGCCGGTGATGAGCCTTTCGATGTCAGGCATTATATTCTCTGGATGCAATTTTGAGGGCCCCTGGGCAAACATGGGGCCATGCTGCATGATGTTAAGTAGAAAGTCTGGGGATGTAATGCTGTCCCAGCAAATCAATGGTGCCGCCATTGAAGCTTTTTTTTTTGTGCGGACTTTGTTTTGTTAAGATCCAATTCAAATTTTTACGATACCTCGTCTGCAGGTCGCAAGCCAGGGTTTCCTGGAAGCATGCACCCTTCCGTTCACATCTTCAAGCTCAGTCAGGTTCCGTCTGATTAATAACCATCGATGGTTATAATGTTAGCTTCTATACGCTGGAAGAGGAGATCAAACTGAAGGTTCGGATAGCATAACTGGCAACGCATCTGCACGGTAAGCAGGAGTTGTGGGTTCGAGTCCCACTCCAGGCCGATTTTTTTATCCCAGCAGTTCTAAATTATTTTAATTAATTAATTTATTAATGTTAATAAGAGATGGCACCTAACGCTTACCTCTAGAGCCAAATTGGTTATGTAATTAATTTAGTAATTAGCCTTAAACTAGCCTGATAGAATTTCAGCATTTGGTTGGTGTTTAGCAAATTTATGGCCCAATTAATTAAGGCAATCATTTGGTTGAGTGTCCTAATGATGCACCCAACTTTCTTCTTCCATCACATCTTTCTTCATGATAACATTTCAGAAATTGTTTGCAACATTCTTTTTATTGTTATTTGTTCTCTTCTGTGAGTTTGCATGGCATCCACTGCAAACAAGTTTTATAGTAACAAATTGCTTGGCATGGCATGGCTTACTTATTCTTTTGATATTCTTAGCTGAGTGGCGATGCATTGTTGTGTGATGTGACAGTCATTCTGAATAAATTCATCTATTAGCTTTTGATGCTTTTCATCAGTCACAGAAACTGGTCGTTTACTGCAAGGTTTATCCTCAATATTCACTTTACTAACTCCCAATGCATGAAATTCCATTGCCCACTTATTCACAGCACTTCAATCAACAGTTTTATCACCATAAATAGTTTATAAACAACAATGAATGTCACTAGGATTTACTTTTCAGCTGTTATAAATTTAATCACTGCATTGTTTTAAACACATTAACAGTAGGCATACTCAATTCCATGGCATTGGCTACTGTCAAAGGACAAGTAAACAAAATTCAACAAATCTTGGCATTTGTAAAAAAATTAAAACAACATAATTGGTATATTTATATAAGGTAAAAAGGTTGTATATTTAAAAAAGTTAAAAATTAAGTTTAAACTTAATTAAATCTCCTTGGAAATCGGTAAAATATTGAGAAAGATATTTTCTTGTGATTGCTTTTTTTGAGAAGTTTAAAAGTTTTTTTAACTTTTACTTTTTTTAAATATACAACCTTTTTACCTTATAAAAATCTTTGCATGTTTGTGCTGAATGTAGCTACCAGATGGCAGCATGCACTGTTTTGTATGTTATTTTCTTCTTGTGTTATGTGCAATTGTGCATTATTTTTCATCTGACACACTCAAATTTAAAACAGTGCTGTTCTATAAGATGAAAATGACGAAAAACACGGTTGAAAATGATTTATAATTTCTATTCCTGTAAGTCATCTTTTTTATTATTAAAAAGTTACATCAACATTGTTAAGAAATCTCTGAATCTTTCTTAGTAACAACTTATTTCAAACTTTTATCATAAATCAAATTTCTACACATTTTAAGATTTTTCTTTCAACACTCTATTAAAAACCATCCACACTTTTCCAGTGCTGTTTTATTTAGAAGACAAATATTTTTGGCTTACTTCAGATTTCTTTCCCCTATCACTTCTGTAACTTCAGCTTTACTCTAGTGTCTTTACATCTTCAGCTTTTCTTGGATTAGCATTGTTCTTTTTTTTTTTTTTTCAAATCTATTTTAATTTTAAGCATTCTCTTTATTGCCTCATATAAATATTTCACCATGATTTTCTCTCAAATGAGATCATACAAACTCCTGCTTTATCTAGCTCCTTTACTTTCTATCATTCTGTAAACAGTAGAAGTATAATTCCTTTTCTAAATAATCTGTTTCTCTTTTTGTAATTTCCTGTAAAATTTTCACATACATTGTTTCAGATTTCAAGACATCAGTTTATTGATATGGAGAAACAACCTGTGTTTGTTGTTTGTGTATGTATATGTAAATGTAATTGCCATTGACACTTTATTTTCACAGAACTATGTGCCACATTCATTTGGCATTTTGAGTGCTGTTATAAGAAATTTGTTGTTGCATTTACTATATATCTGTATTGATAATCTCTTCGCCAAAGCAGACGATATTTTTATACTTCTCAAGCTTTGATATCAACTGTGACAGTATATTTCAATCTAAAAACAATAAATCAAGAATGATTCACATATGAATTATAAGTTTGTTGGATTTAATAGCAAAATAGTAATTATAAATATTGTCAACAAATTAAATGAAAATTTCTATAATCCAATTTTAATGTTTTAGAAAATAGTAATTATAAATATTGTCAACAAATTAAATGAAAATTTCTATAATCCAATTTTAATGTTTTAGAGATGAAAACTTCAGCCACAACTATAGTAGTGGCTGAAGTTTTCATCTCTAAAACATTAACGTCAAACATTGAGTGCTGCCATCTTGTAAGCCTAGAAGTTTGACGATGGCATTTGGAACATCAAGCATGATTCCAATGACATTCCAAATGCCATCATCAAACTTCTAGATTTACAGGATGGCGACATTCGATGCTGACGTTTTAGAGATGAAAACTTCAGCTGCAACCTCTCTAATATGATAAATGATCTCATTGAAGTTTGCTCATTTTATATAACATTGAAAGTATTGCTAGTTTTAATGAAAGTGTAAAATTATCTGATAAAAACAACTTTTCCAGGGGAAAAAGAATTTTCATGGAATTATGTTTAACTTTGTTACAGTGCTGATTTACAAAAATTTTTACATAGTTTACAAATTTGGGTTTTTAAAATATATTTTTAGTAATTAAAAATTTTGTAAAATATTTGTTAGACATTTTAAAGGCAAATGATTAAAAATAGTAATAAATTAATAATATAAAATTTTTAAATTTGAATTTTTAATAAATTTTTATAATAATTTCCAGATGGCAGAAATTTTTTAAATCCAGATTTTTCAAGAGTTTGGGAAATCAAGCAAATTTATATTTCACTGTATTCTTTGTGATTTTGGTGTTATTTTTTCTTGGTGAGTATTTTTATTATAAATCTTTAAGTAGGAGAATTTTTCACAATTTTATTTCATTTTTAAAGAATAACTGTGTTGTGTTTATATTGAAGGTAAAGCAATGTGACGCAGCTAATCATGATTTGTATGCATTTTTCCCTAATATTATCTATAATGTAGAAATGTTATTCTGGTAATTATGGTTAACTGTAAATAAATTCAAACTAAAGTATGATTGTTTTAATGTTTATGTAAGCATGTATTTACTTTATTAAATACCCAGATTTCGAGTTTAGAAAACTTCAGCTTTTTATTTCATGCTATATGTAAGTTAAAACAATTTAAAATTTAAAAAAATTAAAAAAGAAAAAATATCTTAAGCATATTTAAAATTTTTTAGTTGATACATTCCTTTCAATATATTGAAAGTTTAATTCTTTACATCTTTGAAGATGGTGACAATTTAAAAATATCCAGCAAAATAAAAGAATGTTATATTCTACTGCAGTTTTTTTCAACCTGTGGGTTGCAACCCCCTGGGGGTCGCAAAGCGTTACACGGGGGTCGCGTGTAAAAGAAAGAGACAAGTGTTTGTAGGTCCTACACAACAATATAAAATAACTACAATTTCAGTGAGAAGGCTGTACCTGTTTATTTTACAGTGTAATTGGTTTTTCAATTGATATTTAGGTCTGAACAGAAAGAAAATTAAATATGTAGTTTTTAAAATCACTGATATACTTTTAATATGGCCCTGGGGGTCTCCAGAAGTTTTTAACTTGCAAAGCGGTCGCGTATTCAAGAAGGTTGAAAAACACTGTTCTACTGTAACACACATAAGAGCATGTTCTTATGCATTGGTCAAAATCACCACTATATTTTGCAAAGTACTGAAAAAAACACTATTATTTCAAAAACTTTCACAGTATCAGAAGCATCTCTTTAGTTTTAATAATGGTTATCACAGAGATGTCACTGAAGAATTATTGTATCAGTTCATTTACTTTTAATTTATATTGACACAACAATACAGTGCTCTTGTAAGCAAAGCAGGACATGTTTCAAAAATCACAAAAAGTAATTTTCATATAAGAGCATGCTCTTATTTTTGTAAAAATTTGGTATATTAAGGTTATGTAAGCACTTTGGGATATTTTTTGATAGTTAACTTATAAGAATTGTACTTGGTTCAGTCAAAAAGAAAACAAAATTATTTTATTAAAAATAAAACGTTTGTACTAGGAAATAGAATTTGGTAGGTATGTAGGAGCATTGGCTATTTAATATTTCACATACATGTGAGGCCCACTATTTAACAACCAAAATTATATATTTGTATTATATATATGTATTTTATATCCCTTTTCTTGTTTTGTTGGGTTTGGCAATGAACAATTAGATTTTAATGTAGCCATTTTGTTCTGCATTATATGTCTGAAGATGTCCTTTATAAATGGATGAAAATGTTAGTAAATATTTCTTAATTTTAAATGTGCTGGTGTTAGTATGCTGTGTATGTGAAGTCATAACTTTGAGGATATTTTTGAAATTCCTGGGCAAAGTTAGTGTGTTGGAATCGGTATCAACTTGACCAGTTATAAGTTTCGAATCAAAACTCTCAGGAACCAAGGAGAAAAAGAAGAAAGTGTTAATTTTGTGCAAGAAGTTTCACATGGCCTCTTATGGTGATAAGAACTGAAAGACATTTGCAGGACCCAGGTGCCTTTGTTCTGTCCTATCCACCATCTTTAATACTTCTTGCCCTATCATAAATTTTCCCTATTAGTATAAGTTTAGTACTAAGGTTTAGTTTTAGGAAAATTATTATAATTTTCATGTGTCCTGGTCATTTACTAATTTTGTAATTGTTCTGCCAATGAATGAGTATAGGGTTACTACTGGAGTAACCATCCTAGAGTTGGTATCCTTGATTTGAACCTGTATATAATTATATCATGCACAAATAAATAAATTTTTCTAACATCTACTGTGTGTTTAGTTGGTTGGATGTTTGCCTTAGTGGACTAACAAAAACCTTTTCATATCACAGCCCCACCAGTGGCCAAGTGGATAAAACTACTGAACACTGATGGTTGGTTGTGGGTTGTGCCTTGCAAGTGGGCTGGCCACAAGGAGTTTTCTGGATTTTATTCATGTTTGTAACATCTAAATATGAGCCAGTCTTTCTAGGAAGCATCCACCTTAGTAAATGATTCTTGTGTGACATTACTTCTTTGTTTGTTTGAATACAGCTTTCTTTTTCTAAAATCAATTCTGTTTACAGTTTAGATTATTCTATTTGCAGTATCAAACTAATTAGACCAGGGTTGTCCAACCTTTTTTCTTAATGGACCAAAATAGAAATTTAGTTATATTCAGCGGGCCACAAAAGTACTTTATATAAATATAAATATATACTTTTTAAAAGTTCAAAATGTGAATATCAAATTTTAATAACAAATATATATAATTACAAAACATACTGTATTATTTACAATAAAAAACAAAATTATACTCACACAAAATAAAAATAAATTCACTATGATTTTTTACATTGTCTTCCTATTATAATATTGTTAATATCTGCTTTTATGGTACTAGTCTTAATTCTAAGAAAGTTAGTTAAATGGGAATCACTTGACCTATTTCTTTCAGCAGTTTCAATGTTTTTCATGCACAAAAAGAATTGTTTACAACAGTATTTACTGCTCCACATGCATAACAGTTTTCTAGATAAATTGATAATTTCATCAAATTCATTGAAAGAATGAACTTATAAAATTCAAGAGGGGAATGTTCTCTATGATAAGTTTTCAAAGATTCAAAATTCAATGAGTTCTAGCTGGTATTTGGCTGGTGCTTCCACATAATTAAATAAAAATGGATCACTAAACAATTTTAATTCAATTTCTATTTTTCTGAAGTCAGAAAATCTGGTTGTTACATCTTTAAACAAACTGAAAAATATAGTAAATTATTTAAAAGTCCACAGGAAATTCTTCTTTTCTTTTTGAAAATCTCTGAAAATACAGAATTTCACACTGCAATTTTATTGTGACAAATAAGGCAGATAATATTATTGCATGTTTCAATTACAAAATATTTTTCTGGCCAAAAGATATTTGTTTTCTTCTGTTGTTTTTATTTTCTTAGTATTCGTATTAGATGCCATAACCAAATGCTGGGTTATTAAATATATATATTTAAAGTTGATGAAATAATTATGGATATAATTGGAGGTTGAAAATATTTAAATTATTATGTTAGCAAAAGAAATATATAGATAGTCTTATGTCTATTATATACCTGTAATTAGAATGCCAAAGTGGAAGAGGTTAATTTATTCTTTATTTCTATAAAGAAGAAATTAGCCCATTCCACTTTGACATTAGGCTTAGCCTTGAGTCACTAAAAATGGCTGACCCTCTTTTGAAAAGAGGGATTACATATCTTTTTCATATGCCTGATAAAAGGTATCATTCTTTATAACTAACAATGTTACTTCATTACAAAAATCTTTGAAACTGAAACAATCAAAATGAGAGACCACACCACCAACTTTTTTGATTGGTCAGTTACAAATTAAGTCACCAATTATGTCATTACGACATCGAAGTGTATCCAGTAAAACGAGAATAATTTTTAAGACATACTTTATCAAAATAAATGAAAATGTACCTAAAAAATTTAGGATGCAGTGGGCCGTTGGTTGGACATCCCTGAATTAGACCTTCATTATCATCCCTATTTAAAATTTCATATTCAGGTATTGTCATCTCATTTTATAATTATATTACCCTGTATTAATACTTTTAATAAGTAGAAGAATATTTTAACATAGTTTTTCTGAACAAGAATTTAATTTTAGTTTACAATTTGAGCATTTTTGTTTGTATACATGTTATTGTTTAATATGACAAAATAAAAATTCTTTGGCAATATCTCTCTTGGAGTGATAACACTGCAATACAGTATGACTTCTAAGTCAAATTGCAGCCCCTGGGCCAAATCTGGCCCATGGCACATGCTAATTCAGCTTGCATACATATTTGATACATCACTTATAAATGGTAGAAAGAGACCTACTTTTGGTATATGTGAAATGTATAAAATATTTGTTGTTTACCTACTATGACTAATGTTCAATTTGACCTGCCAGTTGAAAAGTTTTGAGCACCATTGCTGTACTGAATTACATTATAAAATGCTATGATAAATAGAAATGTGTAAGGTAGTTATATTCATATAATTTAAAAATTATCAATTTATAGTATTTTCCATTTCAGTTCTTATAAAACATCTTTTATTAAAATTAATTTTTTCAAGTACTATTTTAATCCATAAGATGTCATTTGCAACAAACTTTAACATACATGAGTAATTACAATATTTTATTTCAGATTCTATTAGAGAAACTCATAAATATGGAGAAGGGAGACAGCAAGAACAAGAACATGGCCATTTAGATGCTGAATTACAACAGAGCATGAGGCTCTTCAGAGCTCAGCGTAACTTTTATATTGCTGGTTTTGCATTATTTTTATCATTGTAAGTTGTTAAAAATTTTTATTTTCTTATAAAATTGGTTTACCAACATCCATTTGGGTAGTTAACAATTTAGGATTACAGGTACCTCCGTATAACACGGCACTTCTATAGCACGGATTCACTCTAACACGGTTCGAGAATTGGGAACATCCCCCATATAACACGGTGGTTTTATAGCACGGGTTCACTCTAACACGGTTCGGGAATTGGGTAAAACCCTTGTATAACATGAAATGTAATAAAGGGTGCGTTCTTTTATACTTACACGTAACTCCTCACGAGCATTGTAATTGTTTTCATGGCTACTTTGAATGCTCTTTCAACAATAATCCATTTAATGGTTAAATTTTACAATTGGGACCCTTTTTTGCCTCTAAAAGCTCATTTTAGAATTATAGATTCCTCCATCACGATACTATCGATAGTGCAGGCGCCACCATCTTTCTTTCACTGTTGTTCCTAAATGCCTACAAACAGCAGCACACTCCCATTGCAGAGCGACCGCTATTAATGAATGCACCCAAAAACTGTTACCAGTCGATGATGCTCATGCTGAGATCATCGTACAGGATGAATAATCCTCCGGTAAAATATTTACTTAAATAATAAATAAGTATTTTACCTATGAAAAAAAAATGAATAATATATCCGATTTAAATAAGGATTTAACAGCATGTTTTTTAATTTTTGGAATCTAACCCCCCCCCTTTTCACACTAGTTCTTTGTTTGGTATAACATGGATTCGCATAACATGGCAATTTTTTGGCACGTAACACCCATGTTATACGGGGGTTACCTGTACTTTGGATATTAAAATTTTGACAAACTGTTGAAATATTTTCAGATTTGTAAAATTTCACAAGCATATACTTTTTAGTATTCTCCTTTGTAACAAATGACTCCATAGATAAATCCAAAAAATGGAAAAGGCTAATAAATTTTTAAGAAGTTGCACTTTTTTCAATGACATAGTTTTCAAGACAGTTCATGTTTTGTCTCTGGATCCATAAAAGTTCAAAAAACAAAATATATTAACAGAGTCAAATTTAAATTGTAATTGTAATGTCAAGTATTCTACATATGACAATTTAATATGCATTTTTAAATTTATTATGATGTCTTAATTAATTAATTAATTAATTATTGTAAATTAAAGGAGAAAACTAAAAATGAACAGAATTAAAACACACTAAAAAGTAATTGAGATTGAAGATGATAAAAATAAGATGACTAGTAATTAGTCATTTGTTAATGAGAGAAAGTCCTGTAAAAATTTTCTGTTGCTGGGAACATGAAATTGAGTTATGTCATTATCACTAACTGGTTTCCAGTGTAGTTTACAGACAATACATAAAATTTTGAAATGATAAGTTTGTAGAATACAGACTAAGTTTTAAGGATGGACTATTTACATGGGAATAGGGTATGTGTGTATACATGCATACAACATTAGAAACTGAAATATTTAATATACAGCATAAAATTTATACAGTGGAAATTTCTTGATAATTTAGAAAATTCAAAAAGTTTTATATTAGTCTTAAATGTCTATTCCTAAGGATTTACCATTAGGTTGTCAGCACTTAATGAATTAAAAAATCATGAAACATGATTAACTTGATAGTTAATCAAGTTAAACATATTCAAATTTAAACAACAAGATAATTCCTTAAACTTCTTAATAATAATAATATTAATGTAGCCCAAAATAATCTGGCAATCGTTTAGCTTTAAATACATTCTATGACTTTTAGTGCAATTTTTTTTCTCTAGTATGCATGCATTCTACTGTGCAAGATTACAGAAATATTGTATAATCAATATTGTTTTACAATTCAACCTAATGGAAAGTGACCTTGTTAGTGTCATATCTGGACTACTTTACTTTTTTGGAACCAACATTGATTAGTTTGTTAGCTGATCAAAAACAATTAAACCACAACTGCTAATAAAACTTTAAAAACAAAGTTGTTAACCAATTAAAGAAAAATCTTAAAAAGTTAGCAACAAATCCAAAAATTTATTAACAAATAATTACAAAGAAACAGGAGCTTCTAGTCAAGTTTATTAAAAGAACAAAAAAGAACTTTTAATATTTAGTTACCATAAAAATAAACTAGGAACAGTTTTTTTCTCCAAACATGAACTAAAAATTGAGTTGAAGTGTTAGCAAGTCAGTAATATTTCAGGGGGGCCATCTACTTGCAACTACCATTGCTGTGATGTCACTACTGGCTTAAAAAAAGAATTGCACACTCATACTAGTGACTTTGTATCTGAAAAATAAAATTATGGATCTTCTATTTTTTATTTTGTCATTTCATATTATGTAAAATGACAAAGTTTAATCAAAATTGTTAAATTAAATTTTGAGAATAAACTCAATTTTATAAACCACAGAAAAGGCATTGCTAATGTCCCACTTCAATAAGTGGATTTAAAATTATTATATGAGAAACTTGCTATGGTTTCTTGTGTAACTGATACAAAGAAACAGGTAACCTTACAATATTGCATTCATCATTCAATTCACAATTATGAAAATGTCACCTCAATCACTGATTATAAACTTAACCTTATCTTAATTTGTTTGTTTATAGTTGAGTAATATCATAATAGTTCACCTGTACTCATTTACTTTTTTCCTCATATAAAATTTGATATTTAACAAGTTTTCAACAATAGTAAGCTTTAATTTCTGTCTTGTTTTATAAATTATGTTTAATTCTTCTGTCACCAAACAAGTAGAGAAAACAAGACTTCAAGTAAAGGAAACAAACTGAATGCATTATGCAAAATTTTCTCAATCTAATGATAAACTCTAGGATGGCATCTTGCCAAGTAGATTTCCTGGAAGGTAAATTTTAACTTAATTTTGGCAGGCACTGTCTTTTCCTTGAACTAAACAAAATGTTCTCAAAGTAAAATTCAAAAGAAAGATGTGAAAAATAAAAATATGGTTATATTCCATTCCTTACAGATGTCTTTTAAACATTTAAGTTGGGGATGCAAACCAGTTCAAAATTAATTACAATAAATTTTTCAACTTTTTCCTGTATTACAATAAAACATAATCCTATAAAATCTGCCTAAATGGAAAATTCTGGCCAGTACTGTTTCATTTCATTTCATTTTAAACAGACTATTATATATGATTGAATTTGTGAATATTATGTCCTGTTTTTGTTTTACTTATTCTTTTTTGTCGGTTTTGTTGATTTTTGCTTTAAGATGCTTGTAAAAGGCCAATCTGGCCACAGTGTCTTTTTGAGAAATAATAAAAAATAAACATGGTTAATAATCACAAATTCAGTTTTGTAATTACATTTTATGATTTTTATTATATTGATAAGATGTATATCTTTAGGGTTATCAGACGTCTTGTTATCTTGATTTCTGCTCAGGCTACACTTATAGCTAGATGTGATGCTTCAATGAAACAAGCACAAAGTGCAACAGATGCTGCTGAAAAATTAATGAAAGAAAAAGAACAGGTAAGAGAATATAAAATATCTGCAAATAATTTATTTTCAATTCTTGCATATAAAAAAATCCTTGAATTCAAATTTCTGAAATAATTTATAATGAATAGTTTTTATTTTCTCTCTTTGATTCTAAGATATTGTTGATTTAATAATGAAATTGAATTAAAAAATTTTTATTAACTACAATAGTATAACTTTATGATTACTTTTAATGTTTTACTAAAACATGCTTTTATTAGAATAAATACAAAAAGAACTTTTTCTACAGTGTTATTTCTGTGCTCTTTTGTAAATTTAATGTTTTTATTTTAGTGCTGCATCATAATTAAGTTCTTATGAAGATATTTTAAATCATAACCCAAAATTACTTATTTAACATACATGGTATTATGAATGCATATTTCTGAAATGAAATCAGCATGAATAGATATGACAAACTTTTCTTGTGTACTGATAATACTAGACAAAAGAGCAATTTAGTTACATAACAATTGGCAAAATTTTTACAATGTAAGATCTTATTGATTATAAGATAAATTCTGATTTCAGAGATGCTAAAATATGAAATATACATATTTAGAATCAATAAAATATATTACAGTAGACTCTTGATAATATGAAGTGAAAAGGATAGAAAATTTTTCAATTAATGAGATTTCAAGTTATGGAAATTATCATTATCTTAACATTATTTACCATGTCATTAAGATGATAGCTATTCCATACAAAATCAGATTTAAATATGCCTATATTTTTTATTATTGCTTAGGTACTTATACAGAAAATAATAAAATATTCTTATATTAGTGAAAGAAATCTGTTGTTTGAGTTTGATGTCAATAGTCCATTGCTTCCTCCTCAATAATGTCTTTGATATACTTGATTACCTTGAAATGATAGTTTCATGTATAACATGACTTTTAGAAAGCTCCTTTAAAATTTTTAATGGCATATTCAGTCTTTAAGATTTGATTGATCAATTTATATTTAAGAGTAAAGTCATTGCTTTAGATATGAAACATTTTTAGATTTTTTTTTGTACTTGTAACTTCAAGAATACTGACATAACAAGTAACATTGTGTATATCATCAATTATACAAAATTAAATGTTTTTGTTCATGCTTATTTCAAGTTAGTCTTAGTGTGATCTGTTCCCTTGAAAAGACAACAGAAAGCATATAAAATTAATTTACTAGATCTATAAATTTCAAGTTTGCAAAACCTGTCCTCAAAACATTTGAATTAGATGACCAAAGTGCACTGAGTTAATGGAAGTTAGATTGAATGAAAATAAAATTATGAATTAAAATATCTTAGAATTTAGAATTAAAATTAGAATATTATCTTGCTACATCAGCATATAGCAAGATAATATTCTAACAACTTAACAAAATTTGGCTTACTGAGTACTCAATCTCAACTGTGTACATAAGAAATGAACTAATAACTGGAACTATGATTAACCATTAATTTTTAGCACCATACTTGCACTTGCAGCAAACACATTAACATTCCAATTTCTAACATCATCAAATTGAAACTAGAGTGTGAAATCTAACACAGGCTTATGAAATATGCTGAAAATTTGTGTTTTTAGTTAATGTGATTGCTGGAAGTGCAAGGATGGTGCTTAGAGTTAGACTAATTGTACAGTCATTAACAAAAAGAAATGCACCTAGACAGATTTGTCTGATTACTGTAAAGCTTAGCATACTGTTATATTTCAGATAGATAGGTATGTAAACAATTAGTGTTGTGGTTTAATTGCATTCCAGGAAGGGCCACCAAAATGCCTTAAAATTGTTACTTCCCAGTATTCTATAAAAAAAAAGGGCTAGCAGTGGCTCATTATGTTCATAATTCTTAGTGTACTTGCTGTTTGGAGGTCTTTGAATGCCCAAAATATCTGTAGGGCACAATCAAAGACATTACACACAGCTGATGGAGTTTGAAAAAATCCTATATCTTTGGGCTGAGGGAAGCAGTATGACTGTTTTGCTAATTTTCCACTATCTGGACTGGTCTGACCTGATTATGAGGTGTGTTGGGACAGTTGATATATGTGATGCACATATTCAACAGGTAAGTTCTGGATGCCCTAGACAGACCATCAAGAAAGATCATGAGATAAGCATGGACAACTACAATAGCTTCTGTGTCCATTATCCAGAGACAAGTGATAATCTCAAAGCTAAGCCCTATCTCTTGTAACATTAGCAGATGATAAGCAGAGGAAAATTGTGCATGAACAATTCCTATATGTCATACCATTAACATCCCAATATTGCCAGCATCTTTTCAGTGATGCCATGACAAGCATGAACTGCTATGGACTGATAAGTGTTATCTTTAGTAATGAATATCAAGTTTTGATTTAGAACAGCCAATTATCATGATCCGTAGTAGTCAACAATGGAGGCCCACTGGTGGGTCCTTCAATCTTATCTTTACTGTAGAATAAAGATAGAATTAAAGCACTTGCCAGATTGCCCAGACCAGCTCACCAGCAATGTGAAATTTACAAAATGCCTCATTGCTGGTGTGCTGATCTGGAGAACTATCCAATATGACAGCCAGTTATCCCTATTAGTGGTGTATATATATATTGATGGCAGAGCAATACTATTAGGAAATCCTGCACTCTCATGTTGTTTTTATGGCAAAGCTGCAAAGAGCCATTTTCAGAAAGATACTGCTGCTCATTTGCATACCACTAGAGTTTCCCAGGAATGTCTTCATCACATTGTCACACTTTTTTGGTCTGCTTGGTCTTCATATTTATCACCAATTCAGCATTTGTCAAATCAGATGGCATGTCAACTTTGACTATGCATTGTGTAAGGGATCTGGACCAGCAATTGCAACATATGTAGACAAATCTATCATAGTGTAGCAAATGGTTTTTGTATTCCTCCATGCTCAACTGTATTGCTGTATGTATCCAGGTAAGAGAAAGTAGTACAAGGTACTAAAGATTCCTTTACATTGTACCATTGTTCCACAGGAAATTGTCCCTTTGCTTTGATATTGCAATCACTCGTTGCCATTTTTATTGCATTTTCACTTAATAAAATTTCATTTAGTTCCAATGTACCATGAAGGAAGCATAACTTTTTGTCACTAAGTGTGTTTTAAAAATTATAAATATTCACATATAATGATTTACAGATTTGGATAACTTTTGGATGAAATTCTTAAATATAATCAATCTTAAACTTAAAAGTTTTTTATCCAAAATAATATGTATATCTGTAAATTTTCATTTTATAAATATTTGATATAAAATATTATATATTAGCTAAATGATTATGTTGATTTTAGAAGTAGAATTCATTTTTTCCTGTCTTGATAAATTCAAGAGATTTTCACATAGCCATTGTCTCTAGTGAATATCATTATTTTGAATAATTAAAATGAAGTGCTAACTACTTAAGATAAAGATATTTGGGATGCTATTTAAGTGTGGTTGAAGCAGACATATTTTCTTATGATAGATATATCAATCTGTATTGACTTTTCCTAATTTTTCTTCTCTCCTATATCTACTGTGTTTATGAATTCTTTGGCATTCTGTCTGTTTATCATCATCAACATTTAATATTTCCTGATGTAAAATTTTTTTCTACATCATTAAACACATCCTTCTAACTTTGAACAGACTTCCCATCCAAAGGACTAAGTTTTCCAGATTCAGAACTTTCTCAGTTGAGGATTCAATGGTAAGAAACAGATAGGATGCGCTAAAGGATTTATAAATTCAGTAGATCTAGATGACAACTGGGATCAAGGAGAAGAAAAGTTAAGAGAGTTTGTTTTATGTTGAGGAAAAAGAGAAGTAAAAAGAGAAATATCAGTATATGTGTGTGTGTGTGTATATATATATATATATATATATATATATATATGAAAGAATAAGCATTGAAAATGTCATACTCAGAATCAAAGTTCCATCTAAGGCACATGATTTATATTCTGCTAATGATACAAGTCTAACAGCAGCACTCCAGCAAACTGGAAGTTCCACCGTTTTTTCTCTCTTGCTTCATAAATTTAATAGACAATTTCAAGTACTTACAGCACATTTTGATTTAAATGTTTATCTTAATCTGCATATAGTGCTATCTATCTTGATAGTAGTTATATATTTATTAGATACTTCCTAATCAGCTTTGCATTTATAGTTCAAGAAAAAAAAAATTCCTATTCTGATGATAATGGTGGTGCATACTGTTACATTATGGTGTGGTTCTACTATACCTTTTAAAATTTGTCTTCTTAATTTTTTTAATTAAAATGTTCACATTTATATAATTTTTTTTCTAAATATCTGTCTTACATCATTAATTTAAAATGATTGTTTCATTAACACAGCTCTGCATTAACATATACTGGTTCCTAATATCTTTATTTAACCATAAAAAGAACAAATACAATTCACATTGCAACATAAGAGGAATATAATAGACTTATACACCAATAATCACATGTATATTAGCACTGTGATTGTTGTGCCATATACCTGCTAGTATTTATAGAATGCCTTTTCATAAATAATGAATATAAAATAGTATATTTCTGTTGGAAAGGCATTTACAGTGAAGAAACCCAACTGGAATTTAATTTCATGTGTATGTCTACATGTATACACATGAACACACTGTTGCTCATACATATATAAAATAACATATATTAAAGTTGCTTTTTATTATGTTTCAATCTATTATTTGATATTCTTTACTTTTTATTAATTTATAAATTTTACTCTATTATTTGAAATTTTCATTCTAAATAGTTTATCTGTAACAGAAAATTTAGTTTTAACATTTTGTTTTTTAAATATAATTTTAGAGAGAGAAAGAAGATGGAGATAGAGCTGAAAATGAAGGAAATGTAAAGAGAGAGAAACAAGAAATAGAAATTCAGACATTAAAAGAAGAACTGAAAAAAACTAAAGATGGTAAGATTTATTCTGTAATATTTCATTAAAATATTTATTAACTGTTTTATAACAANTGGACTACTACAATTAGTCAGTTATTTTTCAAATCATAAAATTTTAATTTCTCAGATTCATAAGTTATGTTGTCTTCCTATATAGAAATTATAAATATAATGTTGATATGAAATAAAGATTAACTCTAAGCTGAATAGATTTTAATAGGTTTTTTTTTCTTTTTTGTAAATTTTATCTATAGACCATTTTATAATGGGATTTTATAATAATAATGATAATAATAATAGCAATAACAACTTTCCTGTGGTCACCACCTGGTTATGGTGGGATAGCCCAGTAATTTTACTGATTCATAGAGTAATGCAGGCTGGAGCACAAGCTTCTGGTAGGACACCCATTCCAGTAAGGTCTTTGGGGAGAAATGAAGCTATGAGAGCTATCATTTACATTCTGTGGAAATATTTACCATGGTGGTAACCAGGTCTAAGAGTGATATTGGCTCAGATGCCCGGGTTAATAAGGCCCATGTTCATGGATAAGGCAGAGACTCATGTTCAAGAAATAGGCCACAGTCTCCTTTGGTTACTGGCAGCAATTGTGGTAGCAGTGCCAGCCCACATCTATCACAATGCCCTTAACAGTTGTGAGGAACCAACCTAGCCTTGGTGTTTCTGTGGCAATGCATCCATAGACCACAAAGATTGGAAAACCATGCCAACAGATGAAATGGACAATGGAAATGAATGAGTTTATCTTCTGTACTTACTACACCATTGCAAGACTTGAAACAAACATGACAGCATACAGACAACAACTATACCATACATTCACACACATGCAAGAAAGACATCGGCTGTACACGAAGTGTTTAGCCAGCAGAAAAGTGGATTATGATCAACCTTACATAGGAGATAGACAATGCAGAAAGGTAGGATCCCTCTGAACAGTGTATATAAGGCTACAGTACCCTCTGTGTTTGATGTTGGTGTGCAGTTTTTAGGCTGCAAGGCCATAGTCCTCCGAAGAGTCTGAAAGAAAACCTGAATGTAACGAACACCAATAATTGAGTGCTGCCACAAATAGCTAAGTGTAGAAGTTAGTGCCTAGTGGCTGTTAGTAGGAAGACTTATATCTACTTAATACTAATAAAACTGAATGCAATTGCAAATCTTAATACTACTTAACAGCTAGACAGCATGAAAAGCAAACAAACACAATGACAAACAAGACGAGACAAATGGACCAACAGAAGACAACGAGCAAGATCCCAAAATTTTTATTTCATTTTTTTTTAAATATTAACTATTAACTTACTAACTAAACCTACCATAACCTAGGACAAACCTAACCAGATGACTAAAACTAACAAATCCTAATCTAATTTAACCTAACCTATCATAAAACATCATTCACACAACAATATCCTCACCTCCTGTCACCGAACAGAGGGTTGTTGATCAAAAAAGAACAATTATACACAACAATCTTATCCCATAAACAACACTTGAACTTATCAAACAGGTTGCTGATCAAATACATCAACAGACAGAAACATTTAACATTAATGAAGATAACATAACCTGTCAGGATATTCTAGCAACAAGCACTGATAATAGCACACATATAACAACTATCACTAATGATACTACAGGCACTTCCTCATCCATCACATATAACATAGACATAGAATTAGTTAATATGCTCTCACTTATATTTCAGGAAACACTTACTAAATATACAGGTATAGATCCCACACAAACACCATGAATACCAAAAATCAATACATCTAAGGTAGTAGGAAAAATACTAAATTATGTAAACACTCACTTACTACCAAACTACATTCATTCAATTTCTACACTCTCAGACATTCATACATTAGTTTATGCCGGGGCAGTCACAGTAGTAACACACCATGGACTGAAAATACACTCACAGACAGACAGACAGACACAAAACACAATCCTATCACAAGCCTACCTGGTAGAGAAGAATAGAAACACAAATAAATGACATTAGACAGCAATTAGGCAGGCTGACACGATACACTAAAAACAACATAACACCCAAATTAAAGAAACAACTGAAAAACATTTTCAAGAAAATCAAAACACACACAAAACATGAACATCTCAACACACACATCACAGAATACATTGATATACTAAAACAAAAACTTGCAGCCAAAGCACATAGACTAAAATGATACAAAACATGTTTACTCTGAAAAGAACAAAATAAATTATTTACAAACAATGAAAAAACTCTTTTGCAGACAAATTAGTACAAAAACAAACACTGATGCACACCACAGAATGTAAAATTAAAGAAGCATCAAGATGATGATGCTTTCATTTTACATTCTGTAATCTTATAGTTGCTCCACTGTAGTATCGGTTGTATGCATTCTATGATTCTTAACTGGAACATGATACACTGGAAACATCCAATGGGTCAGAAAACTGTCACTTCATAGGAGTTTGTATATTTTCTGGTTCCTTTTAACAATAATTTTATGTTCCATTGCTTTTCATATCTCTCTGATGTTACATAAGGTTTAATTATGTTCAATTTTTATAGCAGCATTCATCATCATAAATTTTATTTATTGTTTCTTCTGATGTATTTTAAACTTTAATTAGAAATATTATTTTCAAAACACTTTTGATGCAAAAATGAATACTTGCTCCTAATTTTTTTATTCATTAATAATACAAATTCTTAACTATTTTCAGAGCTTAGTTACACTAAAAAGGATTTTGAAGCACTGAAAAGCCAAGCTGAATCAAATAGTAAAGCTTATGATGATTTAATGAAAGAATACACTCAAGTGGAAGTAAGTAAATGCATTTGAATTATTTAGATATAATTATCTAAAATATAAACAAATAATAAAGCACATATGTTATGCTCACTTCAAATAATTTTTTTTTTGTTATACATACCCACATATATATGTGCAATGTATTGGGCTGCAATTTGAAAAAAATTGTAGACCTATAAATTCCCACTGTTATCTGTCCATCCATCTTTCCTTAATCTCGAGAACAGAGCTAGATAGATGAAAGACAAGACCAGATATGGAAACCTTAGAGGCAGGAGGCCCTGCTTAACTACATCTGAACTTCCGATGCAAACCAGAAGTCGCGTTATTTCAATTCAAAAATTTTTCTCCGAAAGGTATTAGATAGATGACTTGCATGACTTTATTGTTAAAGGAAAAGTATGATGTATAGGGGAAAGCCACTACTAATTTGAGGTGGAGAGCATATATCAATATTTTAAATTAAAAATATGATTAGAAATTGCAGCCTGGCATTGTGATGTCACAATAAATAATTTCTTATCACTTGTGAATAATTTCAATAAATGACCAATTTCAAAAAAATTTTTGATATTCATTATTAAAATTTATAACTTTTAAATTTCATCAAAAAGTTTTCTCTCTCTGAAATAGTTGCTTTCAACATTGTCATCAATACTTTTGTTAAATAGTTAGTACATAGTGGATTATTTTCATTTTCACAATGTCATCTTGATTGGGTCAGAGTCTATAAGTGCATTGTTTTAAATAAACTGTGTATGAAATAAGTTGTCACATTTTGCCACAGATTTTTCACACAATGGTGAATTTATAAATTTAATTTTTCCTTTCAAGTGTTTATGCTTATTCAAAACTGACCTTCTCTTAATCTAAATACTTTTTCAGAACTGACTTTTTATTAATAAATTTCTACTACTTGTGAATTTATTCCCACCAACAGTTGAAAGTCTATTATATTTTGATATACTTGTTATTGTTAATCAATAACAATAATTTGCTTACTAATGAGATAAAACTAAAATTTTACTTTGAAATGGATAAAGCTAATGTTTAAACTTCTATAAAGTATCAATAACAGAATTTAGACATCTTGGAGTTATTGCCAATTTTGTTTTTATATTAATTCTAAAGTTATGGTTGTTTTGTGTAGAATTTTATTCAGCCAGCCTTTTTAAATTACCTTCCTCAAATACATTTCTTTAATTAATAACAGAAGGTAAATTTTTTGACTGACTGACTTTTATTATAAATTAATCTGAAAAAAAACTAGGAAAAAATATGAAAAATAAAAGAAAATAATGTTTATAAAATGATGAGTTAAACTCTACTTAGCTATTTAATCAGGATAATTCAGAAAGTTGTTTTTAAATGTTGTTTATTAATTGAACATTTTCAAATTAATGAGAAAGGGAGTGCGTGATCATTATTTTGTTTTAATTCAAACCAATGTTAAATTTCTCTTATTAAATTGTGTAGTAGAGATTTGAAATAAGAACAGATTTTCTTTTTCGGTTTTTCATTAAAAAAATTGACACTGACTCATCCCTACTAAAAGCACATAGTGATGAAACAAGTCACTTTTAAAAAATGCTGTTTTCCTGTGTTTTTGCAAATTTTGAGAGACTACTCCATTTTAACTTTTTTTTTATCTATTACTCTTTCCAAATGTCCTTGATGTGACCAAGTTTATTTCTGGGAATCAGAATGTATCATTTCATCTATCTTACAGTGCAAATTTCATAATTCTGTTGTCCTAACTTTTGCAAGAATATGTGGAAGTTTTATTTTATAATACTTGATTATGAAAATTGGTCATGCTGAATTAAAAAATAATTCCTAACTAGAGAAATGTAAAAGTTTATGCAAATTAAAAAATATATACATGCATCTGGGAATCAATTGGAATAGATGGATTTTTGATTGTATCTTGGTAATTTTTACAAATTGCATTTAAATAATACTAGTGTATTGAAAAATTGTACAGAAAGTGTTTGTTTCATAGAAAATGAAATGAATAAAAATCATAGAGTAAAATCAAGACAGTCCTAAGGGCCAGAAGTAGACTGCTTGGCCTATTTCACATATATTCCAGAAAGAGTTATTTTAGATAGTCAAAATTGTAAACAAATAGAAACTTTATGTTGCATTTTCACTTGTTTTCTGTTTAGTGAAATATAATGGTTTTAGTTTTTTAAGGAAGCTTTGCAGCATTGTTGTTGACTTTGTAGCAGGTTCTTACAATAGATAACTCACATTGTTAAAACAACTGTTTCCAATCATAACTTGATAACAGTGTATAGTTAATTTTTATAGCACAAATTATTTGCTTTTATTTATACTAGATGGAGTTAGTAATAATGAAATGAAAATTAACCATGAAGAATTATACATTTTATAGAATTGTGCCTATTTTTCAAATTACTTGCTATGTTCACTAAGTTTTCCATTTTTTGTAAATATAATTTCCCTGGCAAGCTAAGAACCTCAAATTCTGAAACATTAATTATCATCATATTGAATATATAGATTCATAACAGAAATTTACACTTTACTGTAGAATTTCTTATTGTAATGTTTTAGCAACCTTCCCCGTTTTTTGATGCTCACTCATTAGTAGAGACATCTAGGAGTAAAATATAAAATTTTTTATTACCGCAATTTTTTAATTTTTAATTAAGTTTGTGTATAATTTATTACAAAATATGTAGTTTGTTTTTTTAAAAAACGTTCAAAAAAATCTAATTTCCCATCAATTTACTATATACACTATAAAAAGATGATGATTATGATAAAATAGTGCAAATTTTGCCGAAACCCGGCTGAAGACCGCTATATTAAAACAAATAAAATTAGCTTACATAACCGATTATGTAGGAGAGGAATGCATTACAAATGATGATTAAAGATGGAAGAAATAATATTTTCACTATCAGATTGTGTTTGCTAGGTTTAGAATATAGAAGTTTGTTTTGTCTGAATTTTGCAAGTTTAAAAGTTCTTGGGCTTTGATGCGTGACTTCTTTACTGGAGAAAAACAATGTAGTTATGCAAGTTTTGAAATACATTATAATGGTATTATGAGTAAATAAAAAGTTAATTTAACAATCATCAAATGTGTAAATGTTTGATACAATTTTGTTTTCAGATTTGGTCATACACAATTATGAGTTGTAAAATTTAAAGTATTAAGAACAAACTTTAGAATATGTACAAAAAGTATAATGATGCACTGCCAGCTAAGCTAACTCCTAGACAGTTTTCTAGAATTGCCTGCTTTGTTTTTGACCATTAATTAACAATTTGTTGTTACATAACTACTGCATGAAAGAAATTGAATTAAATGAGCTAAATAATTTGATATAAACAAAACCTCTCTTATAAATGTGTATTATTTGCCTTCCAAGAAGTTTGATATGGAAATGTGACTTAAAAATAATTAGCTTTAATTTAGTTTTCATTGTATAATAATTTATTTTAAAAATTATTTTTTTAACAGGAAAGGATGAAAGAAGTTTCTGGTCAAACAGTGAATAAGAAGAGCGAATAAAACATTTCATTCTTACTGCATAATTTTCATTCTATGCTGCTAAGTATTCTCAATGTTAATTTTATAAAAAAAAAACCTATTTAGATTATTTTAATTCTTATAATTCTTTTGTAATATTTCCTGCTAATTGCAGACTGACATTTTTGTATAAATGTAATTAAATGAGTAACAAACAAATAAAAAAAAATACACCAATCTTGATTTATTCCACACAAAAATAACATTCCAATCGAGTTTTGGGAAGATTCTGTAAAATCTTAGACCTCAAATAATGTATCATTGGCTTAATATGCTAATTGCTTATTTAGTAAATTTAATGAAAACTGATGTTTTTACATTTATCAAGCTGCCAAACTTCTGTATTTGAGGAAATAAATTTTTTATAAGTTCAGTAAAATTTAAGCAAATTGCATATTAGGCCAGAATTATTGACAATTAAAATATTGAAAAACCTGAGAAAGTTACATTAATCTGTTAATGCACTGAGTATTTTTTTTTATACAATTCTGAAAAATACTTCCCTTTTATTTTGCTATATTAGTGCTCATCATGTAATAAATTTTATATAAAAATATTGAGCAGTCTTTTACTCTATCACAAAAATAGCTATATATAATGTAACAACTAAAATAATTTTTGAGTAATTCATTAGCCAGCTAATATTAAATATCAACCAATGTAAATAAAGCATTTATAACACAAAATCCAATATGAATAATTAAATTTTCCAATTTCTTTTACAGACATATATAAAATTATTCAATTTGTATTTTTGTAAATCACATATACCAAACTAATTTGAACAAAGATCTGGCACACTAAAGAACTTTAAAATGTCTTTACAGGGAAAAAGGAATACAAGACTTGCATACTATACAGAATGTTATGGCAGTGAAAACAAATGATTCAATGGGATGTTTACAGATTAATTCTCGAATCAATTTCAAATTAAGTCGTTTACGAATTAGTCACCTACGGGAAGTTTTGTTCCCTGCACGTCGGCACGATACTACTTCATTGGATATTTTGTTCATGAAGATTAGAAAACAATGTCACTCAACTTGAATCAAATCAAACCCTTGGTCTTTGTATAATAATAATATTAACAAGGACATAAACAATTGGATTTCTTAAAAAATTGACGAGTTGCCTTTTAGGAATTGCGTCGATTCAAACTTTGCCTGCAGAATTCGTCTGTCCCTGTTGTTGCTGACGCTGTTGATGGAATGTTGTTTCTTTGTATACAAACCATATGCTAACACCCCAAAGTAAGAAATTTGAAAAACCAAATACCTAAATAAAAATAAATCAGTTTAATAAAAGTCCCTAAAACAGTAAAAAAAAAATAATAATAATAAATCTTACCAGTGATACATCTAGTGAAGCGAAACTTCCCATATCATCTGACTTACAAACATCTTTTCTCATACATTCACACAAATTTTTAAATAGATTTTCTGGCTTTGTATAGTATTTCATATCGCTTACGCTATCTGCCCATGCACTCGATCCAGCAAGCCAGAATAATGTAATGACGCTGGTGATACCCATATCCTAAAATGATAAAAACTTATGTAGAAAACAGTGATACAAAATGCATAATACAAACTTGATATTTACCACAAGAGGATACATTGGGTTATTCTGGTATGTATCTTGTCCTATAGTATAAACAACAGATATCAAAATAGTATAAAGAAAAGCAATAACACCAGTGGCAACAAAAAATTCTGCACTTCCAGAAAATACATATGGAAAATATACAACTCTGTGAGATCCTGTTTCATTGCAGTTAGGTATAGTTAGAGGTATCTCTCTCAAACTAAAACAAAAAATAATAATTGTACTGTTTTATATTAATTTTGTTTTTTAATTTTATATAGACTTACGAAAATGGATATCCAAAATGATATTCAATATCGTGAATGTCGTCAGAATTGCAATCCATGATAAAAGATACCGAAGTAGAGAATCCAGCTGTTGTAGAAAATGCAAAAATGGCCATAATCTAAAATTGAAGACAAGATTTAAAAAATTATGCTCTTAATTAATCTGTCAAATTTCAAAGTAAGTCATGTAAAACTTAGATATCTAAATTACTAGATTACCCTCAACTGAAATCAATACTTACTTGACTTCTGTATGCTTACAAATTAAAAATTAATGTAATATTAAATTTAACTTATTTATCATAGCTGATTGAATTATTTTAGATAAAAAAAATAAGATATTTATAGAACTTACTGCCTGAATCACTCTAATGAATCCTCTTGGTTCTTTAAATATGCTCAAGTTTGTCGTCATTTTTAACTGAAAAAAAAATTAATAAAATTTTTATTAATCTGTAGAAATTTAAACTAACTAAATTTATTCACCAAACATTTTTTTAAATGTAATGAACAATTTAATATTGTTAGTGATGATGACTGCAAGATTAGCAAAATGTGCCAGTTTTAAACAGTTTAGGAAGAAAAAGAACAATGTGCATAATAAATCCAAATGCCGCAACACGAAAGTATCATATTTTTAAATCCAAATGATTTAGACACTTTTAAAGCAGACAATTATTTACTTGATGCTTGATAAGTTGATTATCTTTTCATTACTTCCTAATACTAACTCCTTTAAATGCTGATTTTATCGGTAAGTTTTAGAAAAATTTCTGCAAACTATTTTAACAGAAAAATGTCATAAGTCTGCAGAAACTTCTTAGTGATTCTCCTGGAATCATGGAGATTAGACAACTAGGTATTTTCTAGGAAAACTAAATGTGTGAAAAAAGGATTTTAAAACTGATCAAAATCTAAAATAAATATTGTCAGAGATCAATATAATTTTTACAATGATCAGAAACTCAATTGACATGTAGTGTGTGACTGGCTTACAACTAGTAATTGTCCTGTAGACTTTACAGGGCAAAATTTGACCTTAAATATCTTGCCCATAGACCTAATTTCAAAATTCCGGCTTTGTTGTGAATCAATCTTGCCAAGTTTTATTTGCTAAAAATCATGTTTTGTTGTCATGTAATTGTTTTAATCTTCAATCACAAACAAAATATTTTCTGACTTATGTACATTGAGTGGTGCTCTGCATATTAATTCTGAAACTTCTAGGAATTATTTTTGGCATTTGTAGTAACTAAAATATTCACTTAACGGATAGCTTAGTTTTGCAAAGATGTATGGTAATAGAATTTATGAAGTTGAATGTAGCAGTTAGAAAATCATTTTAATATCTTCAAAATGATATTTATCAATATATTATTTATAGATGACTCAATAAAACAATGAGAACGGTGAACAAAATTTTTGATTTTTTTTTAATCTACTATAATTAATGTTATATTATGGAAAGAAAATGTCAATCACTTGAATAACCAACCTCCCACCATAGTTTTAATTATGCTGTATCACACAAGATTCTGTCAGCAATATTCCAATAGAAATTTAAAATATAATTTCTAAAAATCTGTCATGGACATTGAATGAATAGGAAAATTCAGATATTGAAGCTACTTTTAATTCTCGTGAAATATTTATATTACAGTAGAAGTTTGAGACCACAGGGTTGTTATGATTTGGTCCATCGGGTCATTAAGATTCACTGGATGGCTTTTTATAGAATAATGTTGGGATCACAGGATCCTTCCGATGTCAGGACTGACACTAGCTAGGGTAGAAGTTTCGTGCTCTAACTCATGATATCTAGATATTAAATGGAGGGCTATATTTTATCAAGCAGAGAGGAGTTGTGGGCAAGTTCCGATCATAGCGGGGTGAATGTCCATACTTAACCTATTCGATGTTGAAATTTTTATTTGTTGCCTGTGATGCCATGTTGAATTTTCGTCAATGTTAAGCCTTAAAAAAATTTTTTTTAAATAATAACTGTGTTTACTGTATCGTTAAAAATTATTTTTTTATGTTGCACAAACAAAATAAATATATTGTATAATATAGAAACAAAAAAAATTATATTTTAAAAGTTCGTTTTAATATAAAAATTGTGATGCATAGCAACATCTAGTATCAAAAACGTTCCAATGTAAACACAAAAATATTAGAGATCGCCCACGCAGGTCAATGAGGTCAACACAAATATTTTCGGGGAACAATGTAGGACAGGTTAAGTAACTGAGGGGATCAACAGGTTAACAAACAACAAAAGGTTTAATGAATAAAATAAAACAAAGAGATACATAATATAACCTATCATAAATTGAACCTACCTAGAATCTCTCTCACGCGTGCGCTTAGGTGTAGAAAGAGAGTTTACAATTGGTTGAAATAATGACAATACATCTGTCAATCAAATTGGAGAATGTGAGATGAATGCTGGAGAGTCAGAGCAGGACTATCTTCTTCTAATTAGTATGGCAGGTTTGAATTCTGTGGACTGCCGGTTGTTTAATGGCATGTTCCTTCTTCCCTTGAACTGCCGTCTCTAGCAAGTTTCTTTCATCATGGACTGCCCCAAACTTGTGAATTTTTCCCATTTTTATTCTGTTTCATCAATCAGATTTTAGGATTCTGATCATCTGACAGAACATACATCTGATGAAAGGAACTGATATTCATCAGATATGAGCGGTGACAACTTTCTAGGGGAAGTTCTATTTCCTTTTTCCATGACAAATTATGACTTGCCTATTTTATTGCTAAAATATTACATTGAAATTATTAATCAAGTGGGTAAATCAGACATGATAAACAAAATGAATAAATTTTCAAATAAAATTGCTCTCCGCTCTCATATTCTCACAAGTCCATTAATCTGGCACCTACAAAATAAATGATGCCGAATTACTAGATATTGTCAACAAGTTACCAAATTTTGTACATTTCAAATATTGTTGGATATATATATACAGCAATGCAAGCTGGTATAAAATGCTTTAAATTTATTCATTCACACTTTTTAATCAGTCTGAATATGATACTATACATATGTTATACTGTGGAAAATCTGCAAAAGTGTTAAACAATCTTATTGAACAAATTTGACATTCACAGTAATTCCAACTATATATTTATTTATTTTCCAGACATGAACTGTATATACATGATTCAGAAGAACCAAGTGCTCACAGAGTACAAGAAACCTGTTTTTTGGGTTGGTGTTCTTGCATCAATGCATTCTCTTTCCCACAAGTCAGTCATCCATGTTATTTGAATACAAACACATGCTAGTTGTAACACTAGCATGCTGGATTAATAACTGACAATTCTGAATTATAGTATTGTGGTACTGTCATTACTTTATTCCAGCTGCTTCTACTATATGGCTTATGATTATCTTCATGTTTGTCATTCTGAGTTTTTCTTATGATTTGCCACTATTTTTAATTATAAAACCAATTTGGAATCACAATTAATAGAACTGATCCATAATTGCAAATGCCTGTAAATTTCTTCATTAAAATTACATTCATCCAATTAGAAAAATATGAACCAATCATATTCTAGTAATGGTTGAGGGTGTAGATTTTCCTTTGTTAGTTTGATGATTATAGTCTGTATCACTTGTAAATTGAAGAATAAGCTTAAACTCAATTGTTTTTTTATATATTTAAATGTTGAGAAATTGTTGATAGAAGTAATCAAACTTTGTAAAAAAAGAATGTTTGGTGCAACTTTAGTGAGTATAATATTTTTTTTAGTTTTATTAAAAATAAAATATTTACATTTCAATACTCTATAATTGTTTGAATTTCTTTTTGTGTAAAATAAGTGTTAACATACAGGAATCTTGTTAAATGAAATCAATTTCAGTTATTTGATAGTAATTAAAACCAAAGTGTGATAATTTTTAATTTTAATAGTGTAGCATTACGCTATTAAATACATGCAGGAGTTTTAAATAAATAATAATTAAGTATATTTCTCCAAAAATATCACATTCCATAGCTTGAGAACTATGGTAAAATTCCATTAACCTGACATCCAGTAGGCTAGCATGTTGGGGGTTATCAGTGCACTGTCCAGATTTAAGATTTTCATGTAAAAGTGCTCAAAACATGCAGTTCTTATAAAGGGGTGTGGGTTTTCCTTTTAAAGATGACAAATGCCACTACATGATGCTGCATTAGGTAAAACCAGTTAACTCATGTACAATTTTTCTAAAGTCTTTTTGAAATTTAAAAACAGTAGTGCACAGATTTGATATAAGAAGCAAAAATATTTAGTACACTTGATATCAAGTCATCACAAATAGCAACAGTACATTACTGTTCAAGTACTATGATGCTTTATTGTGTATAAATACAAATACAGGGTGTTGGAAAATGTCTGGCCAAAATTTAAAGGGGGTTAGAGGGGATGAATATAAAAGGATTTGCAGTACAATGCTTGTCTGGAAATGCCACATGAAGGTGGGAGAGGATGCTGTGTAGGGCAGTCGAAACAAGCTGGCAATGCAGAAAGCTGTCATTCCCCGCTGTGATTTCATACAGCATGCAGCCCTTGCCGAACTATCAGATAGTCATCTGATGTATGGAGCTGCGAATGGAAATGGGAGAGCTGTGCAAAGGTTGGGCTTGTTAATAAAGGGATTATTACATTTGTTTGTGTCTCTTTCCTTTTACCTTTCCACTTTCTTTACTCTCCAGGACTTTCACACGGCGTTTCTGGAAAAGCATTGTACTGCGAATCCTTCTATATTCATCCCCTCTAGCCCCCTTTAAATTTTGGCCAGACATTTTCCAATCACCCTGTATATTCTAAAGCACGGGTTCCCAACCTATGGGTTGCGACGGGTTTTCTGTGGGGTCGCCAACTTATGCAGTAAACTAAAACAAAATTTTCACTATAATTCAATATTTATTTTTAATTGTGTCTTAAAGTTTGAATAATTTCATATATTTTTTAAAAAATTAAAATAAGTGTAATCTGGGTACGCTATTCTGTCACAGTTGGTTGAATCATGTGTTGAGAGTTTTGAGAGGAATAAATTAAATGTTGAGAATGACATGAGGTTGGCGTTAACAAAATCATCCGCGAATTTTGAGGCTGGTTAATAATACATGCAATTTCAACCATCTCATTAAATTAATTATTAAACATAATTTAAAATAAAATTATACTAAAAAACTAATTTCATTGTTTTTTAATTACCTTATTAAAAATACCTTTTTTAATTGTATCGGGGTCGTGGGTCATTTGGCTTTTATAAAAAGGGGTCGCCACCCGAAAAAGGTTGGGAACCGTTGTTCTAAAGTGTACAAACAACAAAGTAAGAATAGTGTTGTTTTTCAACCCAATTAAGAGTAGGAATAGCATGGAAAAATTGAAATGGCATATTTAACAATC